GCAGTGGCGTTTGGGGTGCCACATGAAACTCCCCCCAGGAGCTGCGTGGCAGGAGGGCCACCGGCTGCCCCCCTCGCGAGCCCCTCCTTTCCTGCCCCCCCCCCAGACGCTGTGCCAGGTGGGGCTCTACTCCATGGGCCGGAGCCCGGCGGTGTTCACGGAGCCCGAGCAGTACAGGCCCTCCCGCTGGCTGGGCAAGGAGGACCAGAGCTTCAAGGCGTTGGCTTTCGGCTTCGGCTCCCGCCAGTGCATCGGGCGCCGGTTGGCGGAGGCCGAGATGGCGCTCTTCCTCATGCACGTGAGTCCTGCTGGGCGGAGGGGGAGGCGGCCTAGGCAGACAGCTGCCCCCCTAGGTGGGTTCCTCGAGTTACAGCTGTTCCTTTAGTGTGTCCTGGGACCGCTTTTCCCACTTACGACCTCGTCTCCACGGTCACACGGGATCAAAATTCGGCCGCTCATCCACGGATTCATATTTATGACAGTCACCAGGCGATCCCCTTCGGGGACCTTCTGATGAGCAAAGTCCACGGGGAAGCTGGATTCGCTTAACGACCGGGTTACTAACTTTGCCACTGCGCCGATCGAATGTGGCAAAAAAGGTCGTAAAATGGGGGCAAACGCGCTTCCATTGTCTCGCTTGGCAACGGAAACGTTGGGCGACTGTGGTCGTAAGTTGAGGACTCCCTGCAGAAGGGGGCCTAGAAGAGACAGCCAGCGAGCCGGCCGGGGATTATGGGATGTAGAGGCCACGATGGAATGCAAAGGGCTTGCCCGGGGGGGAGGGTCTCTGCCCCCCTCACGGCCATGGTGGTGGGGCTCTTCCAGATCTTGAAGAACTTCAAGATTGACACCGTCTCCAAGGAGGACATCCGGACCATCTACAGCTTCATCCTGAAGCCGGAGAAACCGCCTCGGCTCACCTTCCGCCCCATTGACTAGGGGGTCCTCTGGGCGGCAGGGGCCTCCTGCCCACCAGCTCTGCAGGCGGCGAGCGAGGAGAAGGGGCAGCCCAACGCTCAAAGGCCAGCGGGCCTCCCCGTTTGCACAGCTTCCTCCTGACTGCAAACTCCACCCTCCTGCCGAGCGCTGATGAGGTTACCTGGTCAGGTCATGAAACGTCTGCAAGAAAACCGCCAAGCTCAGGGAGCACCAAGGACCCCACAGACTTCCTCCTTCTCTTCCTCCTCCCCTCTGCAAACACCCTCCCTTCTAGTACTGATGATGTTCCCTAGTTGGGTCATGAAACATCTGCAAGAAAGCCACCAAGCTCAGAGAGCACCAAGGACCCCACAGACTTCCTCCTTCTCTTCCTCCTCCCCTCTGCAAACACCCTCCCTTCTAGTACTGATGATGTTCCCTAGTTGGGTCATGAAACGTCTGCAAGAAAGCCGCCAAGCTCAGGGAGCACCAAGGACCCCACAGACTTCCTCCTTCTCTTCCTCCTCCCCTCTGCAAACACCCTCCCTTCTAGTACTGATGATGTTCCCTAGCTGGGTCTTGAAACGTCTGCAAGAAAACCGCCAAGCTCACGGAGCACCAAGGACCCCACAGTCACCCTCCTCCCCCTCTCCTCCTCTTTCCTTCCAACACTGATGAGGTTACCTGGTCAGGTCATGAAACGTCTGCAAGAAAGCCACCAAGCTCAGGGAGCACCCAGGACCCTTCATTTCAACCCTGAGCTACAAAGATTCCCCTTTGCTGATTGAATTTCCTCCCCCACTTCTTTCGTTCTC